AACTGCTGTGCCACCGGGCAGGCCCCATGACCCACATTTCTATCTACACATTCTTACTAAGTGACTGCACCAGGCCTAAGGCCCTAAACCTTGTATGTCTTCTGACGTTTCCCAAGTTAGTGGTTCCCAACCTGACTTCTCTCCTGAGTTCTAGACTTCAACTTCTTACTTGACATCTCCATTTGGTTGTCGTCTTAATGGAGCCCTCTTAAAACAGAGCCTGGGACAAGGATTACAATACTAACCATTTAACTGGGAGGTGCAAGTCCAAGGTATTGGGTGTAGGAGGAAAAGGGTGAGGAGGCGAGAGAGGGGCGACGTACTGTAACGAGCTGCTTCACCATCCCGGCTACCGCCTCCCAGAAAGCGGCCAAGAGCCCTGGCAGGCCACGCAGAGGCTGTGTTCACTCAGCATATGGGACTTCTCTGGAAGAGCTGCCTGACGATATTGCACCGCAGAGTGGTCCATATGAGAGGGAGAACAACGAACACTTGGTCTGTCTGGCTCCCATTTGGCTCCCGTTTTCCCTTGTTCAACATGCACCCTCTTGTTGCTAACTCTACACTTTTTGGGATGCATAATCTGAACCCTTGTTGGCATGCAGGAAGCCAGCTAGTGGAGTGATATTCCATTCACATCTGAACGCGGAAGAGTGACCCAGAGCTGATGGAGTGCTGGCAGGGGACAGAGAAAAAGAAAAAGGCCGACGATGTTTGTGGCCCAGTGCAGATGTCTACTGGACATATCAACATGAACATGACTAAACAGAACTCTTGATTTCTTTCTCTCAACCAAACTGATTCCCTCCTTCCCCACTGTCCGTCTCATGTCAGAAGATGGCACCCATCGTCTCCATTGCTAAACCTTAGTCAAAGAGACCATCACCTCAGGCATGGGCCATTGAACTGGCCTCTGAACTGGTCCCCACCCTCCCATTCTTGCTTGTTTTTGATGTATTCTCCATGCCACAAGAGTGACTTTTTTTTTCATTTATTTTTATTGAGGTCATAATGATTTACAGCATTGTGTCATTTTCAGGTATACATTATTATTTATCAGTTTCTGTATAGACTGTATCATGCTCACCACCAATAGTCTAATTTTTCTCCATCACCATACGTATGTGCCCCTTTACCCTTATGCCCACCCCCCACCCCCTTCCCCTCTGGTAACCACTAATCTGTCCTCTTTATCCATGTCTTTGTTTATCTTCCACATTTGAGTGAAGTCATGGACTATTTGTCTTTCTCTGTCTGTTTTTGTTTCACTTAACATCATACCCTCAAGGTCCATCCATGTTGTTGCAAATGGGACGATTTTGTCTTTTTTGATGGCTGAATAGTATTCCATTGTGTGTATATATTCATTTTTATATTTATATATATATATATACACACACACACCCCACATCTTCTTTATCAATTCATCAGTTGAAGGGCGCTTGGGTTGCTTCCAAGTCTTGGCTATTGTGAATAATGCTGCAATGAACATAGGGGTGCATAAATTTCTTTGAATTGTTGATTTCACATTCTTTGGACAAATATCCCGTAGTGGGATAGCTGGATCGTATGGTATTCCTATTCCTAATTTTTTGAGGAATCTCCATACTGTTTTCCGTAGTGGCTGCACCAGTTTGCACTCCCACCAGCAGTGTACGAGTGTTCCCTTTCCTCCACAGCCTCTCCAACATTTGCTATTCTTTGTCTTGGTGATTATAGTCATTCTAACAGGTAAGGTGATATCTCACCGTACTTTTGATTTGCGTTTCCCTCATGATTAGTGATGTTGAACATCTTCTCATGTGCCCTTTGACATTTTTAAAGGTAAGGCAGTAACACTCTTCTCCCCAGCTCTGGGCTCTGCGCCATCGTTTAGCTCTCAGATCACATCACCCCCTAAGAAAGGCTTTCCCTGACTCCCCTGTGGAGAGAGGCTCCCTTCCTCCCACACTTTCTACATTACCCTGTTTCACTGCATCCTTAACACTTCGCCACTGTCTGAAATCATCTCATTGTGTATGTGTTGTATATTGTCTGTCTCCCCCACTATGATATAAGCTCCATTCAGAGAATTATGCTGAGTGAAAAAAGCCAATCCCAAAAAGTTCGACACTGTATGATTCCATTTACATAATATTCTTGAGGTGACAAAATGGTAGAAATGGAGAACAAGTTAGGAGTATCCCCGTATCCATGGCGCCTAGAACAGTCTTTGTCCATAGGAGGGACACCATAAATGTTTGTTGAATGAATGGGTGACAGAATGAACTGTGTGGGTGAACTGAGGGCCGAACCATGTGGCGAGGAATCTGTCTGCTTGCCTGACTTGTTATCTGGTTAGGTCTTTCCATAGCGGAATTGTTTGAGAGCAGGGACTATGGGGCGGTTGAAGGGAATTATTTAGGTCCTGCTGGAGTTCAAGTGGGTTTGGGGATCAGTTAACAGTCTTCCTCCTGTCCCCATTTTTTAAAATGAAACTTTTATTTTAAGATGATTGTCGGTTCACATCCAGTTTTAAGACTGGCTGTGATTCGGAGAGCCCCTGCACCGTCAGCCTTCCCTCCAGCGGCGCGTCTGGAAAACCTAGGGTGCAGCGCAGCGACCAGGGTGTGGACCCGGCACAGTCAGCGTGCAGACGGGCATCACCGCGAGGGTTCCTCGCGCTAGCCGTTATCTGTTTCAGCCACAGCTACTTGTCTTCTCCCCCGCCGCCCCCTTGACCTCTAGTACTCCTAACTTGTTCTCCATTTCTACTGGTTGCACCTCAAGAATATTATGTGAATGGAATCACGCAGTGTGTAACCTTTTGGGATTGCCTTTGTTCACTCAGCAGAATTCTCTGGGGATTCACGAGGTTGTCCATTCTTTGTTTCGTGGCTGAGCCGCGTTCCACGGTGTGGATGGACCACAGTGTGTTCAACCATTCACCCGCGGAAGGACGTCTGGGTTGTTTCCAGTTTTGAGCTGTTATAAAGCATGAACATTAAGTTTTCATTTCACGGGATAAATGGCCAAGAATGCAGTTGCTGGACGTTATGGTAGTTGCATATTTACTTTTTATAGAAACTTCCAAACTGTTTTCCTGAGTGGCTGTACCACTTTACCTTCTCACCAGCAGCGTCTGTGTGATCTAGTTTCTCCGCACTCTCGCCACACTTGGAGAAATTGAAAGGCATTCTTTAGATCCTGCTAGATTCCAGGGGAGCTCAAGGATTCACTAACAGCCTTTCTCTTGCCATGTTTTTTAAGAAGGCTGATGCTTTGTCTGTCCTTTGGCTCAGCTGGGGATTAGTGATAACAGCCGGCTGCCATCTAGATGGACAGCCCACCAAGCACGTTGCTTTAAGAAAGGGTGACAAGAAAGGACACTCACACGTTTCCTGGACTCCCAGGCAATTTTAAATAATGTCAGAAAAGGCAAACCACCCCTGGAGGATGTCAAGGAGGGAATGTGGCTGGATTTCCGCTGAGAGCTTGATCAGCTGTAGGAAATCACCCGCTCAGGCCGATCCAGTGGGGAGAGGGTGCCCTGAAGGGCCCCTCAAGAACTCCAGGGAGGGACTCTGCGAGTGGAAGGGCGATAGCAGAAACGTGTGTCTTAATGCGCGCTGCCTGGGCTGAGTGAAGGCTGCTTCTAAGAAAACTTAGCTCTAACATTTGGGACGGAGGCCACCCTGGAATTTTCTGTCTCAGCTTCACAAAACTGAACCCAGAAACAGAACAGTCTGTGTTTGGCTCCTCTCGTGACTGCTCCTGGCGTCTGACCGCGTCTGCTTCCCCCAGGGGCCCGGCCCTCCGCCACCCTCCCTCACCTCCGTGGCCTTGCCCTCTCTCACCTTCGTGAAATCAGCTGTTTTTTAACACCTTAATAAACACATACTTATATAGTGGTTACTACTTCTTAGGCATTGTTTTATGTTATTTTAAAGGTATATATATTAGCTCTATTCAAACTGCCAACAGCCCTATAAAGTAGAAATCATTAATGTCCCAGTTTCACAGATGAGGTAACTGAGGTACAGAGAAGTCAGGTCACTTGCCCAAGATCACACAGCTCATAAGTAGCAGAGGTGAGATGCAAACTCAGGCAGCCTGGTTCCAGAATCCCCGCTTTTAATCTCTACATTACGATGACTTTCTTTTATTGACAAATATGCTTTAAACTATTCTCTTTTTCAAATACCAATGGTATTGCCGTAAGGAAAAACCTCCCAGGGCTCTGTGTCTATATTGTCACCAGGCTAAGGGACGCACAGGACTCCCCCGAGGAACACCTCATTGCCCATAACAGCTCTATCTTGTGCAGGTTGTTTCAAAGAACTGCAACCAACATTTAGGAAACGGAGTTACTGTGTGCCAGGACGGGGCCAGGAGCAGTCCATACATTGTCCACAACAGCGTGGGGCGGGCAATACTAACTCCCTCTTGGAGATGAGGAAGTTGAAGCATCAAGTGGCGAGTGGCTAAGCGATTTGATTTAAGTCACACAGCTTGAAAGCGGCCGTCCTGGGTTTGTCTGAGCCCCCCCATAGGTCTTTCTGGTCTCCTTGACTACACAAAAATGATTAAAGAGTTAAAGCTTCTAGTTTCGTCTTCTTTATTTTTGGTGAGAGTGTCAGTTTTGGAAAATGACGAGGTAAGAATAGAACCTTCCGTTTTGCTACCCATGAATTAGCAGTCCCCCAGAGTTTCACGTCGTAGAACGTGGCCCCACCATAACCTAGTGCTCAAATACAAAACTCAGGACTTGGCCCTTCTTTCTCCCTTATCCTACCTCCTTTCTACAATTTACCAGTAAATTCTATCAATTCTGTCTCCAAAATGCATCCCGAATCCACGTGCTTCTGTCCACCTGAGTCCAGGCCACCACCATGCATTGGCCCAACTGCCTCAACAGTGCCTTCCCGGGCACACCCTGCTCCACCCCGCAATCGATCTCCCATAGAAAACGTGTGCGCTCTTCTTAAGATATGAATTGGATCTCGTGTCTCTCATATTAGATACACTTCCAACTGGATTTGATGCCCCGTCCTGCTCTCTCAGGAATCCAGCGCCATGTTGGAACAGGTCATGCTCTTCCCACTTGGGAGCCTTAGCCCATGCCAGAGTCGCCTCCCCTCTCCTCCCGTGGCTGTCAGCCCCTCAGAAAGCTCCACGGAGCCTGCAGCAGGCATCCTCCCTCTGAAGATTAAAGGCATCAGCCTATCCGCTCGACGGCTTAGCCCAGGGCCTGCAGAACTGAACACTCAGGTAACGATAGTTCTTGGGGTTTTTTTTCCGATCATTGTTGCTCTGGTAAATACTCTAAAACTGCATGCCTGGGTGACTAGATAAGTGGCATAGGGAGGAGGAACAGTGTCAAATCTGGGCCCTCAGGAGCTTCTAAGAGAGGAAGGTTAGATACCATCAGAGGAAAAAAATCGCGGGGTTGTAAATCCTCTTCTCTGCCTTCCAAAGAATGTCATTACTATAATTGTCACACACACACTTACCGTGTGCTTAATGGAAGCACAGCTTGCAGTAGCAATGTAAACTATGCTTTGAAAAAATGTAAGAGCACCTAATACATTTTTTAAAGCAGTGGCTGGACCTGTCTGATTGATTTTTCTAAATATGTTTCACCCTCACTTACAGTTCCCCATCATGCTTCTTTTCTACGACTTAGCAACGAGTACTTAAAACAAAGTTTGTCCCTTTTCGATTTTCCAGTATCCTTGCTAACAGTCTTACGTGTTGACTTACAGAGACATGAAAAGGGGAAAAGAAGTGAAGAACACTTGGGTTGGAATAACCTATGAACTGGATATTTAGACTTTGTCCTGTTAAGAGCTGCCTTTTAACGGAGATAAAGGCAACAATGCGGACACTTCAGGCCCAGCAAGCCGTTAGGCTGGACTCTTCTTTGACAGAAGGTACCCTGGTTTATGCACAAAGATATCCATCACAGCATTACTTGCAATATCCCATGTCCAAGGCTGGGGCCTCCCTCAGTGAGTTACAGAACTTGATGAAAGATTATAGAGCCATTCAAATAATACTGGCAAAGACATTTTAAAACACGAGGAAAGCCTTATGTTATAACGTTAGGTGGATAAGGAGGCCTATGGGGGACATGCATTAAGACCTGTCGTTGTACCTACTACAGCTGAGAAACGCTCACCGTATTTCAGGCATCATTCTCCAGCGAGAGCAGGTGGGGCGGGCTCGGAAAGGAGTCAGGGCCGGCACGGTGCCATTGGCCCCTTCCCTTCCTCCCAACCTAAGAGCCAGGATTGGAAACATACCCAAATATTAATACTGTACACCTTTGCAGGCTTTTCTTCTTTGTTCCTCTGTATTTTTCAAATGTCCTAACACTTTTTTAAAAATGCTTTTGTTTTCCTTTAAACTTTCCCCAGAAACTTCTAAAAGGCAGCTGCTGTGGTCTCACATCTCCCTTCTCCCCGCAAATGTGTAAATAAAGAAACACCCCTTTGCCTTTCATTCATGGCAGGCTGAACTCGCCCTGTAAGTGGATACTCTGACCAGACGTCTGTGGGTGGGTCGGGTGTTGTGTTTTCTGTTGTAGCTTCTTTTGGCTGATAAACTAGCACTTAAGTGTTTCCCTTTTCCAAACCCCAAATGACAAGTGTCTTTGTGGTGAGGTGGCAGCCCAACCTCATCGTGAACACGAACGGTGCTGGGACTTATTTTTGGTTTGCTGTCTAAGCAGGAGCTGGGCTGAGTGGCCAGGGCTTTTGGGGCCGAAATGGCTGGACTCAGAGCGTGGACCTAGAAGGAGAAAGCAAGGCAAAGCAAGCAGACGTCCTGGGGAGGTCGGAGCACCTGGTCCAGGTGGGCCAGAAGGAAAGGCAGAGATCTTCTCTTAGCCAGAACACTGTACTCCACTTTTTACACGGTTAATTTTACCAAGGATACTAGAAAACAGAAACACGTTGACCCCGTTCGGGTGAATGTCACTCCAGGAAGCCTCAGGGAGCTAATAATAGCAAAGAGGCTGATGCTAAGAAGCAGAAACTGTGGTAGACATCCATTCTACAGCCTGCTTCCTGTCCCATCCTCCCTTCTCACAGAGCCTGAAGCAAGGGGTCTCACCTTCTGCTGGTCAAGTAGCTGGCATGTCACCAAGCTGGGCCAATTAACCCTGTCCAGAGAAGAGAAATCCTGGGTGAAGGGATACTGGGGTCCCCAGCTGATGGCAGTCCATTAGTTTCTCCTATCCACGTAGCTCAGTTTCCTGTCCTGTACATAGCCAGATGATTTACCTCTTTATTTGGTTCTGTGAGCAACTCTGCTTGTATATACTATGTATGTGTGTGTGGTATGACGTGTGTGTATATATTTATATTTATTGTTTTGCTTAAATTAGCTAAAGTTGGTTTCTTTTGCTTGAAACCAAAGAACTCCCCCTAAAATGAGAGCCCTGACATATTTCTCTGTACATCTCTGCCTGGCTCTGGACAGAGGGCAATTTATCCCCCCCGACTCCAGTCCAACATAGGAACTGGGATATGCTGGGTTTTATGAAAGCATTGGTGATTTTTTCCTCCCTGAATGTAAGCTCTTCCCTGTGTCCTAAGCAGGGGCAACCAAACAACTCCAGCCTCGACAGGACCCTCAGACAGGAGCGGGGAGTCCGCGTACTACCACTGTGGGACCTGGCTTTACTCATCCTGGGGTTCTTGTGCTGGAAACCAGGCTCTGGTGTCAACCTCTCAGAGACTAACAACCCCAAACAGAGCGCCTCCGACTCCATGATAGAAACGTTGGGCGTCAGAAAGCCATGTTCTCAGCAGTACGAGGTTCTGTCAAAAGTGGTGCAGTGAGAACACACACCCCATCAGATCTGGCTCCTGGAGCAGAGTTACATGCACAGGCAGCACCGCCTGAGTGGCAGCAGGATGCCCGTGACACTCCACCACCACCACTGCTATAGCTGCCGTTACTTTGCACAGCACGGACAATATCTCCAGCCTCCACGGTGGTATATTTATTCATCAAGGCAGCTCTTACTTCCTTTGATGCATCTCGTAATCCAGGAAGGCAGGAGGGGCCGGCAACATTAGTCGCATTTTATGGTTGTGGAAACGGAAGCACCTGCCAGTACTCATGTTGGATCTTGTACTATTATTACTGATGATAACAATGGTGCTCTTGATGTCAAATTATTGGACTTTTCTCCCAAAATTGCTTTAGAGCACAACAAAAAAAGTAATAGTTCATATTTATTGAGTGCTTGCTATGGGCTTCAGATTTATTGAAGTCGATGCAATTGTCCTTATTTTAAAGTTAAAGAAACTGGGGCTCAGAAAGATGAAGTAATCTGCCTCCGACCACATGATGAGTAACTGCCGGAGTCAGCATATGAACCCGAGCGGTCTGACTCCAAACTCATGCACTGGACTAGAAAGCCACAGGCCTGTTAGCTCTTTTTGAAGAAAACATCCATTACAGCAAACTGGCCAGACCCTTAGACTTTGTCCTGTTCTAATCTGACCCCCATATGTCATCCTTTTCAGTCTGAGTAAACATCCCATCCACATCCACTAGGGCCAGAAGTGGCTCTCCGCTAACACTTTCAGTTCAGAGTGAAAAGGTGGAAGGACTCACAGGAGAAGGTGTCCACGTCCAGTCCACAGGCCCAGACAGCTCAAAGGACTTGGGTAAACACCCAGCTCGAAAATGCTAACAAAGCTCCGGGCCTGGCTGGTTACCTCCGCCCACGTGTGCCAGGCCAGTGGAAGTAGGAGCGTAGAAGACATCAAGGATCTAACAAATCAATTCACAAGGAAACCCACCTTGATTTCCTCCTGCAGAGCGTATCTCTACCATTTCCGTCTCCATGGCGCTGCAGATGCCAAAATGTGGCAGGAAACCCAAGAGTCTAGGCCAGCAACACTCTATTTTCAAAGCAGTGCTTGGGGACCGAGGACGGAAGGCGGCCTGAAGACAAACAGATTGAAAGTTCGATAAGACTTGGTATCATTCCGATCACACCCACAGAGCTTTGAAAGGTGCTCTGCTCACATGGGCAACAGGGGCAAACTGGTGAATTCAAGAAAGTTGGTCCTGGGCAGCTTCTTCTATCTTTCAGTGGAAAGTCTCCTCCTGCAGGCACCCGCTGCCCTCAGCCAGCATCCCTCACCAGGGCTGGGCTCCCAAGGGGCGGCCATACCACCCCGTCCTCTGGCCAAGCCCCTGGGCTGTTTTTTATTAAGAAAGGATCTTAAACTGTATTTCTTCCATAGTTGTTCATTCCTTCAAAGTATTAGTTTGATCAAAACAGATCAGGTAATTCATGGTTTATATGCCTTTGGGTGATAACGACTTAGTAAATTAATACTCTCAGAGAACTTTTGAAATTCACCCCAACAATAACTAATGGAATTTTCTGGCACTCTGGAGGCCGGTGTGGTAGGGATGTCTAGTGATTGCTTTTATCCAGCTCTCCTCTCCATTTACACAGGGTCACGTGACAATGGCATGGTGTCACATATGGACTGAGGCGTTTGATTGCCAGTGGGAGAACTTCCAGCTCTTTATCTGCTGTAAACTGTGGAGACCTTTGTTGAAAAGGGGGTGTCATAGGATTAAAGCAGCCTGGATCCCTGAGGCACCATGTGAAGGACCGGCTTCCTAGAAAGTCAGCCAGACCTACAATGCACTTTGGGTGAAATAGGAATAAACTTCCTTTCTGTGAACCCACTGACAGCTTTGTGTTTTTTCTTACAGCAGCACAGTCTGGCATGTCTTGACTGTTAGAGCTAGTGATTTTCGATCACCTCAAATAGTTTGGTCCATAGTTTGCTTCCTCTGTACTGCTAAGAGAGACATGTGTCACTTATTAGCTGTGTGGCTTTGGACAAGTTATTAAACTTCCCCAGAATGAGTCTCAGAGTCTCCTCTGTAGGGTAGGATGTCTGGTCTCTTTCGGGTGTAAGGTTCTGCCTAAGTGGCAGTCCAAAATTGTATGGTGTCTGCTCCCTAAAGCTAACTATTCTGTGCTAAGCAAGGTAACACATCCCAAGACAAATGGAGATGTTTAACTCAAGTCAAACACTTCTTACCTACTAATCTCTGTGACCAGGAGGCTCATCTCAAGTTGCCAGTAGATAAGCACATGTTCTAGGAGGTTTGAGATTGTACTCGGAGGGCCCACAACATCTCATTAGCCTCTAAAATTGGCCATTCTAGCACCTCTCAGCTACTGGGATTTGTCAAAGCAGAGCCATTCAATTTGGGAATCAGGCAGCATTTCTCAAAGTTTATTTATCTTTGAGAAAATTCCCAGTTAATGTCTGAAGACAAGAGGGTCTCATCATCCAAAACAGTGGTTCTTAGCCCTTTTAACATGAAGACACCTCTTCAGTATAAAAAATTCCCCTGGATGTGCGTGCGTGTGTGTGTGTAACTATTAGTGCCCACTGACCTAAAAATGCACTATTTAAAAAATTACTTTAATGAATTCTTATTCATATATTTGAAAAGTAGCACACATGTTATTCAAAATATTTAGACATATTACGTATTCGGGCTCCAGGCAACGTTGGGCACGTGTGTTATATATGCAGACTCCTGGCAATAATTCTGAGGTTCCCCAAGGTCTATTCACACCCACGAGCTGGGAAGAGCAAACTTAAGGAATCTAAGAGAACATCGCACCCTGCATGTGCTTCTTGTTTCCTCCCTCTCATCCTCAACTTCTTATTCTCTGGGAAGCAGACGCTGAGACAGAATGAGGAGTACATAGGTTCGGGGGGAAAGGAAGTGTGAAAGCCACTGTGAGGAGCAGCAATGGTCATGAGGAAGTCACCGGATCACGATACAGACTCTGTCAGTCCAACAGGTTGCTCCCCAGCAAGGCTGCCTGTTGGAGCCGAGTCCCCACTAGACAGAAATGGCTGGGTCTTCACTCCGTAGCCCTGCTTAGTTATTGGTTGGGGTCACTCTGAGCAGAGTGTGACTTTGGCTCAGAAGTTGCTACAGGGGAGGCTGTCAGCTAGCCACCCTCCAAGGAGCTGGGCAGCAAGTCCTTTCTGGAATGGGGATCTGAATGGTGTATCTCTATCTGCCGCATTTCCTCTAAGGCTCTGAGGCAATTCTGCCCCTCCAGGTTATTCATGAAGACAACATAACTCTATTAGTAACAATGTGAAGCGCCCTTGGGAAAGAGGCCATCTCTAAGCCGGCAAAGTCAGAAAGGAAATTATAAACACACATAAGCACAGCTGCATTAGCTGAAGGGTGAGCTTCTCCCTGACCCTTTCAGGGTGGGATGTGGGATTGCACTTAGTTTAAGCAGAATCTCCTTCTGCAGAGAGAGCTAATTGCAAATCTGAAATACGCTCACAGAAATGCTTACTGCAGGAGTGCATTACTCTGAAATGAACGTGAAGCCTCATAAATCCATGACCGTTTACCGTGGGGCAGTCACTGTGCTGAGAAAAATGAAGCAGTAATGGGAAGGTGGGAAATGGCCTGGGGAAGGCGGCTTCTCGTAGGAGGAGGAAGGCGCCCATTCCAAGTGTCTTCCCTGCGCCTAGGCTGTGAGGGAGTGTTTAGCAAGCGGCATGAAGAACAGGCTCGGGTGGATCCAGCTAGTGGGAAATATCTACAAGATTGAACTTGAGGACGGGGGCCGTGCCCTGTTAGTCTGGTTTCAAACATGGATCCCGTTAATCTCCAAAGATGCATCTTACACAAGCTTCCACGGTGGTTTCCAAGTGGGAGTTTACACAGGCCAAGGAGAACAGAGGCAAGGGCATTGAACAGAAACCCCAGAGGCCTGGCCCATCGCCTACCCTGCCTCCAGTCCTCCTGCAAACGAGCAGTCCCATCTTTACCTGTTTTCCTGTTAGCACTTTGTGCAAGGTTACACTGAAGAAAAGGTTTCTTAGTGAAAATAAATGAGTTAGATAATTACGGTTTCGTAGGTCTCCCTTGAAACCTACTGAGATAGGATAGTGAAGAATTCGTACTTCCAAAAACTCTGCTCCATGTACCTCATGATAGAAAGATGCATAGATAGATCAGAGATGAGACAGATAGATGATAGATAATGATAGATAACATACATTTACCAATTTGCCAATATATAACACATATTATAACATACACACAAAAACAGAAAATTGAAAAAGGATAAGAAAATAAATATAATAGAGGCCCTAGTATTTTCTTTTTGAACTCAAGGGATCATCTTGATTTCCTCTGATGTCGGCACACCTCACACTGGAGCATTCTCATAGTCTTGTCTGTGACAGAAAAAACGTGTGGGAAATAAAGGGATGGCTTACCATTACTTACGGATGTAAATCCATCCTACTATTTTTTAATGGCCTTTGAGCCACTGAGATAATGGTACTCCCCATCCTGGCCATTCCTTCCTGCACCCAGGCCAGGGCCTGGGGGTAGAGGGGATAGTGATCATAGTTGATTACTACTAGTGGGAAAAGGGTACATGTCTTTTTCCAAACCAGATGGATTCCTCCTCTCCCTTTCTTTCGAGCACAGATGAAATCCAATTTAAACAAGTTGAGATTTCAAACCTGAGCTCTCTTTAGTCACCAAGGTTTAGAACAGTGAGTGGAACTGCGGACACTTGAGTTGATAAAACGCCCTATAGCTCAACTCTGACAGTCGATGATAAACATACGGTCACTGATGTCTGGGAGAATGACCAGAGGAGGGCCAGTTTGAAGGGCATCAGCCTGAGTAACAGGGGTGGGTATCAACGGACCGGAGATTGCAAGGCCTAGCAAGCAAAGAGAAAGCTCGTCAACACCCCACAGAGTGAGGAGGTGTGAGGCAGGCACCAGATGTGTTTGTGGTCCTTCGGTGACTCAGCTTCTATTTTAGCTACCGATAAACAAAGGGCCATTTCCAGGTATGCCACCTAAACTCGGACATTAAGTATAGCCCTAAGGTTACCAGGGCTACAGTGCTCCAAACCACAATTATTTCACACATGTTGGACTGAAAAGAAATGAAAATTAGAAGCATGAAAAAAATGACAAAAACGACTGTGGGTTTCCCACAATCTGCAAATCTCCCTTCACTACCAGCTCAGCACGAGCACTGCTTCTATTTTCACAGCTCTTTCCGCCTCACAGAGACCCACTGTCAGTACTGGTTTCCCACCTTTTGTTCATTCACACTCCCTCTGCCACCACTCCTTTCCCTCCAAATGCCACCACTCCTTTCCCTCCAAATTCCCATCCGCCAGTCTGCCTTCCCAGGCCCAGCTCCAGAGACGTGCACAGGCTTTGCCCAAAGCCTCGCCGGGGAGCCGAGTCTTTTTCTGAGGATAGTAAGCACTGACTCATCGCCTCCTTCTCACCACAGTTTCCAAAACACAGTCTGATTTCACCCTTATCTCCACCCAGATCCCCGTAGGTCTGGGCCACCTTGTGTGTAAACAGACTCCTGCTGGGGGATTCCCTCCTCACCTGCCTGACACCCTCTCCCTCTCTCTCTCTCTCTTCTGATGCCTACCCTCCCAAAATTCTGAAGAAAGAGGAGCTTAAAGAACTAGGACCCTTCAGGATCCATTCTTGTCTGTATTTCAGACCTTTGGTCAACAAAGGCAAACACAGTTCTGCTGTTAAAATAAGACTCAGAGACGCTTAGAGAAATGGCTCCGTAAAAACAGACAGTACTCCAATCAATTCCATCTTGGCTTCACCACCTGCACAGGAACAGAATAACCGGAGGATGAACCAAGTTTTCTCTGGGTAACTAAGCGAGTTTTACTCCTCTTCTCCCAGCCCCAGGGAGAAGCAGTAAGAGATTTAAATATGGGTAGTTGGAGATGAAAGTTCTCAAATTTTTATGTTAAATATAAATGTATTTGTGCTTTTATCAGATTTATGCAAAGCAGCACCTTTAAGACACTGATTTGAGGGTGGCATGTTACAAATGAGAGAGATGCCATTCAGCAAAATCCATCAGATTGCCCTCTGAATGATTCAAGTTCCTAGCTGTTAAACCAGCTTGAGCTGGGGGTTCCTAACTCCCCATACTCTCTTTTCTCTGGATCGATTCTTTAGATCCTTCCCCAGCTGGAGTGTCAGTCTCCAGGTGACTCAGAATTCGTTCAGGATACTCCTCCACACACCTACCCTTCTGATCAAGACCAAGCCTGTTACTATTGATTTCCAGCATTGACCCCAGCACTCCCTCGGGTCTCACCTCCACCAAGAGGATTCGGGAGGCAGAGGGCAGCATGGGCAGCAGCCTGAGCCTTTAAAACTCCTCAAAGCCAATTGGCAGTTCTGCACCAGCCTTCGTGGAAGAATTTATTGAGAAATTCTTTAGTCCACTACACCTTCATTTTTCAGAAGAGAAATACCTTCTTGTCTTCTGGAACTTCAGGTCTTGGCTCAGATTTTAAAGAAAATGCTATCTATAGCATAAAGTAAGGGTTCCCATGCATGCCCATTACAAGACCACTGATATAAACAAACCCAATGAAAAAGAGTGCGTGTGAAACAGTTCCCTGTGAGGAAAATGGAGACATTTCTCCTGAAATGATGCTGGCGGGACTACTGTCGGGACAGGGCCCCGGAAGTAGGCTGCTTATCAGTCACCAGGTCTCAGAGAAGAATTTGCATTCCATGTGGCTTCCAGATGGCGCACTGCAGATCACCTAATGTCCTTTTTGCAACATGTTCAATCATATTTAGGATATTTATGGATATTTATATTTAGGATATTTAGGATATTTATATTTATGTTTAACTTCCAACTTGGGAGAGTTTCCCAGTAGGACAGAAGCCTGTTTCAAGGTTGACCCATGAATATGACATAAGCCCAGGGGTAGACAATT